AATATACCGTGTGTTGGGGTCCTCCAAAAAATGTTGTTTTTTCAAAACTTCCAAACATCTGTCTGTCCGCTCGTCCGAATGTTATGTGTGTAAGGTCTAATACGTTGAGCACATACTTAGATTTTCTCTTTTAGCTTCTTGGCTACCATTAACCTTGTTGTGTCATTTTGAATTTAGTATTTGTGTTGAAAATGGTGTATTTTCGCTGAAATTTAGAGGTGTGCATTGGTTTAGAAGATACCTCGGCTAAGAGAGATATTTCACGCCGAGAGTCGGCTATCCGTTTCATAATTCTTTTCGCCCACTGCGGTACGGAGCTGTTTAGTAGGTTTGACTGTCGGCCTTCGGTGTTCTTAGCTGTCCCGAAAATTGTTTCAGATACCAGAGATTCAGTAATATACATGATGTGATTGATTTCAGTAATACCTAGATCTCTACCTGGTCAGACGGCCTGGCACAGGGAATGGGGGCAGAAGCGTTAAAATTCTCGGACATAAGCGCCCAGCGTTCGAATTTAAAATATGAATATTTTCATTTGTGTTTCTGGCATGTGGGACATTCTGTGTCTCTTGTGTGCCACTATGTATTCTAATCCTTGCACTATTCCTTCCCTGATAGATAACTGTTTGTAAGATCCGTAATTGAACTGCCACCGTATGTCCAGAACAATGTTACAATCTCAGAGATAGGGCAAGATCTACCAGAAATATAGGTACAGAGCGAGATGGGGTGTATGGGATATTTTTGTGAGCTATTGGGAGAGCTCGAGGGTACGTTTCGTTGAGGTTTGTTCCCAGATTGGTAGTTCTCGCAGGAAGCCCTGGTAGGGCCCTCAGGTGCCGATAGAGGGCAGACTGGAATGGGATGATAAAGAAAATTAAACACATTCCTGTCCCACCATATGCTAAACTAGTTTCATTTGAGGTAAAAAATCTATTTCCTAGTGCTCCAACTTCTGTTGGAAAATTACTTTTTTGTTATTTACTAGACAAATCGTGATGTCCCATACCCGTTTGTGATGAACTCCAAAATCTCTTCCACTTATGCATGGATCAAAATAACTTCATTTTTGACAACAAATTTTATAGACAAACTTCAAGAATTCCTATGGGCTCACCTCTTTCTCCTCTCCTTACAGATTTATTTATGGACGCTTTCGAACAGACCATCTTCCTTTCCAACCATCCACTTCTCAAGAACATTACATATTGGCACCGTTACGTAGACGACATCCTTGTTCTCTGGACCGGTACGACTAGACAAATTGACCTGTTTACTGACTTTCTCAACAGCACACATCCTACTATTCAATTCACCACAGAACTACAGAAAGAAGACAAATCTATCAATTTCCTAGACCTGAATTTAAGTATATCTGGAAACAAACATTCTTTCGATATTTTCAGAAAATCGTTGTACACAGACACTGTCATCAACTCTTCACAACATCCTATTCAACATAAACATTCTGCCTTCCACTACATGATACACAGCCTAAGCCACAGCCACATACTAAGCCTGCTCCTAACAAAATCTCATTTTCTGGAAGAACTGAACACTACACATTGCTATGTCAAACGGTTATAGCAAAGAACTCATTAACAACATACTACGCCGTAAAGTAGTCAAACAGAAACAAGAAATCTACACTACAGTTTTTCCAATAACACAAACATCAGACAAGTACACTTGCTTACCTTATTTTGGACCCCATTCAGAAAAATTCGCACAGAATATTCACAAAGCATGTGTCAAAGTTGCATTCAAATCTTAGAATTCCTTCAAAAAAATGCTCTCCCCCAAACAACACAGACCTTTTAGACAAAAGCGGCGTCTATTCACTAAATTGCCATGATTGCGAAGCCAAATATATTGGTCAAACTGGCAGAACTTTTAATACCAGAATTAAGGAACATATACACGCTTGGAAACACAACACCTGTAACTCTCACTTGGCCAATCATTTACTCCAGACAGCCCATACATTCAATCCACTCACAGATATTCGTGTACTGGAAATAGAAAATTACTACCACACTAGATTAACTTTAGGAAACGTGCATATTCATTTAAATAATAACTTATTGAATGAAAACATAAACCATAGTCCCTCTCCTCTACTAAAATTATTATTAGACATCATCCCCACACCGCACTCCCTCGGGGCGGCACAGTAGACAGCGCAGCGCACTGCCACTGCACTCCGGCACAGTAGACAGTGCACCCAGGCCACTGCCCTCCTCCACCCCACGGCTGGGTACTTAAGTCGCGTGGCTCGCCCGACCCCGCGTTTTGTGTTTCAAATTTTACATGTTCTAATTCAATTTCATTCACTTTTCTTTTAATATTAAATGACTTAACACCTTTTTCCCCTTTCTTTCTTTCAGTTCTAGGACCCTTTTCTTTCTTTCAGTTCTTAAAATGTTAAATATATTTTCTAAAAATTGTAAATTATTAGTAATTTTTTATTATAATTTTGTTGTCAAATCAAAAAAATCTCGGTTTAAGTTCTTTTTTTGTTTGTCTTCTTGTACTAGAAGACTGATGATGATGGCTAAGTCATCGAAAGCTGCTATTTTAATAAATAATATTGTTGGCAATGACGACTTATATAATTATTTCCTTATGACATTAATATAATTAAATATTTCTATTAAATTTTTATTCAATACTCTTGATAAATAGTTTTAGATGTATTTTATTTTATATGAAAGAAATGTATGAAAATGGGAAACCTTTTACCGTCTGACTACTGAAATTATTTTGAAATTTTGTAATTCTGCAGTTTCTTGTCTTTTTTGTAAGTATGATTGATTATGGGTTAATTTATGCAAATTCTGTAAAATGTCAAATATTAAAAGCAAGTGAAAACATCGAAATTAATTAATTCGTAATAATTATGTCATTTAAGTAAAGTATTTGCATAAATATTGCAAATCGTTTAACGCATTAAAACTATTACCGTAAAGCGGAGTTACTTTGATATGTATTTCAAGTTTTTTCTAAACAAGCTAACACGTTTTTATTGCAAAAGAGTTTGGAATTTTTATGTCACCTACTTTTCTAAACAGTGATTTATTTTAAGCATGAAATATTAATAACTAGGCACTGAGAATTTTCGGTTTAACTTTGGTATATAATTACCCCACCTTGTGGGGCTACATTATGAGTTTTATCCTGAAATTCATGGTATAAATTAGTGTCTCAAACTTAACATACCTAACGTTTATTTAAAAAGAGTGTACAATGTTGTTTTGTCACGTAGGACCCCTTTCAATTAAGGAAGTACTTAAAATATGTTAGTTGAACTTTGACAAAGTCACAAGTTTGCATATTGACCGGGGCCATTCCATACGGACCGTTCAGTGTCCATGTTTGAGCAGGTTAATCCATGATCCATGATCTTGTACAATCTTCGATTCTCCACTGGCTCTGGGGGTAAATGACTTGCTGACGTCTTTATTTTGTTTTCATGGACGGGACGCTAAATTCGAAGTATGCAAAATTTCACCATGTGTTTCAAAATAACTTCTGCGGTTACGAAACAGCTCTATTGACCATAATATCATTCGTAATAAGCATTTCAAATCTTTACTTTATTCAAGCATTCTAGGGGCTGAATGTTCACGTTTAAAACCTGCGGATGTTCCCGACTCAATCTACAGACTTTTTCTCTCCGATGAATGCTCAGGTGGCTTGAACATCTTCATCCGTTCCGTTCACGTCATGTAAAAGTTCCACATCTGCACTCAAATTACCTTCGCAGATTTGGGTTCTTACAGGAAGAGTATACGGAAAACAATATTAATACATTTTCGAATCGTTATTTGCTTTCAATTAGATACCATAGTTCCTCGTTTATTGAGGCTGAAGTCTCCAATCCGAGTGATCAGAGAAATGAAAGCTATCGTCGTCTACTCGCCGCTTGAGAATGAAGTGTCTCGGCAAGGTGCCACCGCAGGCCGCGGCTGGTTTAAAACCGGCGTGGGCAATGGAAGGGGGCCACACAGTGGAACAACTCTTGGCGAGTTTAGTAAAAAGAAATATGAAAAAAAGTAGGATTTCCTTTCAAAATATTTAAGTACACTATTTCCATAGTAATAATATGTAAGAAATTGTGTCTAACAGAATAGTTGTCACAGTACAATAATTTTCATCAAAATTGTAGTCGTTTAGTCGTATAGAAATCCTCCAACTTACCATTATTTCGTATGTAAAGGATATTTTATATACTTTTATTTTATTTCTTGCTTTTATTGCGCCTAATTCAGTTTTTTAATGACAATGAATTTCTCTAGTTCTCTAATTTTTTCTTTAAGTCTACCAATCAGCGAAGAATTCAGAAAGTGCTTTAGGTGGTGGGAGGTTGGAATATTTCTGTTGGGACGTTCCTATCAATATTTTTGGTCAGTAAAACAAATTATGGTGTCTTTATAAAGATAGCAATTATTTGAAACGTGATGCGTTCAACATATAGTAATTATTTTTAATAAAATTAGTAAAATAACACAAAAATTTGGATTTGGGGAAACACACAGCTTCATCTAAGGAATTCAACTGTAATTTGCAGATAATTGCAGTTAATGCCATATTACTTAGAACCCCTTTATTTAAATATAATAAATTTAAATAAATGCCTTAAAATTATAAATCATAATTGTTTATGTAATTAAAATTACGTTTTGAGGTTTGCAATATTGCAGAATAACAAATTTGCTACGTTTGTAATTTTTTAGCAGCACATTTGTACTGATTATGTAAGTACGAGTGTTACCTCTGCAAATTACTATATTTTTTAAAGATGCCTTTTTTTGTTGCTGTTAGAGAACATCATTTGTGGGTAATATAAGAACTCATTTTCGTTTTCCGCCATCCTTCGAGGCGGCCTGCTTCACTGCGTGGCGCTCGTGGCGCCCTCGGCTCTTCCGCGCGCCGTGCAGCGCCGCGTCGCTGAACTTTCCTGCCTCTGCGCCTGCAATCTCGCGGCGTAGTTTCCTCGTCCATTGTGCAGAGGGCGCAGCGCTCATGCAAAGCAAAGGGATGAGATCAGACTTCGACCTTATGTGTTTTTAAAGTCCTTCGTAAGATCGGTTGGAGTTATCGTGTTTGACTTTGGTAATCAACACACCTCACTCAGTGGTTGCTCGTCTTATCGCGTTACTTCCTAACTTCATACCGGCGCGGACAGCGTAAAGCCGGGGTCTATAAATAGGTAGCAGACAGTTGTCATTGTTATTCCGTGGTAACTCGTCCGCGAATCCTGCAGAGGCGCTAGTGCTCCTGGGCGTGTGGCCGTGAAATGTAGGCTGGCGCGAGCGGTCAGTAAGGCTTCGATGTGCGGGCCGGGCGCGGTCGCCGGCACGGGCGCGGGCGTGTCCGCGGCGGAAGGGGCGCGGCGCCGGTGGGCGGTCGGGGTGGCGCGGTGGCTGTTGCCCGTCCTGCTGGCGGCGTGCAGCGTCGTCCCGGCGGCGGCGGCGGCGCCGCAAGTCCCGGAGGTAATCAGCGCGGAATGGATAAAGAGATACCTCAGCGAAGTGTATGAGCCCGAGGCCGTCAGGCAGTGCAACAAATTCAAAACGGCCCAGTGGACGTACGAGACGAACATCACGAAGGAGAACGATGTTGCATATGTAAGTAATTTATTTGTAAAACAGTATTTTATTTTGTATGTCCTTGGTTTTTAAATCACCCTCTTTAAAATTAACAACCTAGTACACTTCAGTACTCTCCGTTTTAAATTATGGACATTATGTATGAATAGATTTATTGTTGCAGCGGCAATGATATGGATGAATCGGTTTCAAAAGAAATTTGATTACGCGTGCTATAATAATCTTACAACAATCTTCTCGCGTTGATCTCTTAGACTTATTTCCCCCAAGTATATTAAAATACAAAATTCACGTCATGATAAGTTACAAATGCAATCTAATTTTAGAAGAAAATCTGTTTTTTGTCGAGTTGACTGTCTATTTGAAATACTTTTTTAAACCAAAAATTAGTTGGTTCATTGCTATTCACATTGTAATGTTAAAGCAATGTAAATCTCGAAATCCTTTGCTGGAATACGAACACAAATAAGTATAGATGCTAAAAGTTGCTGCTAGGTGGCCTATTCAATAGACATAATGAGAACTAATTTTACGTAATTCATTGTGGTATTCCTTAATCGGCAAATGGTTGTGATACGTAATGATACGTTGTGATACGTATGATTCTGGATAAATTATGATAAATCATTTTTTCATCAATTTATTACCATACTTCGACATGAGTATTCAATGAAATTAATTCTATATTTAACCCCATTCATAAAAGTTCATCCTATTAGATTCTTTAACAATTCACAAAACTGTTATCATGTAAAATCAGTTTTACCAGCGGTAAGGCTCGTCAAAATTGTCCTGGACGTCAATAGTTTTTTATCATAAAATAGTGAACGATACTTGCTACCAAATTGTTACAAAACTTTAAAGTATTGCATTTGTGTACAGAAGTTAGTTAAGGAATCGCTTCATAAGCCGTCACAACTTCTCAACAAGTGATAGAATGATAAATACTCATGAAAACGTTTCTTTGCTTTCTAAAAGCTCACTTTGCTAAATGTATTTAATATGACATTCCCAAAAGCGTCATCATATTGCCAAGGGGAATCGAGGGATCCTGTTGCTTGCTAGTTAACAGCAGACTACTAACTCGGTGTACTGCCGTCGCGATTCACAATGAAGTAAGATAGATGGTAGTGACGATGAGGCCTCTTTAAACACCTCTATTCTCCCGATATCAGCACACTCGCCATTGGCCTTATTCCGGAACTGAACACGCAGTTGTGGGATACTTTTTTCAACTATGGACGTTTAAAGGCGTTTAGACGAGGTCTCGCATTAGCGAATCAGGTAACTAAAATGCATTAAACGGTTTGCTGTTGTTGACAATGATCTGAAGGACATGGATAATTTGAAAACACGTTAGCCGTTTCAAATGTACTCTGTGCATAAAAACTAGAATTTTCTAGTTTTCTAGAAACTAGAAATTTCTGTTTCTGAAGAAATCTTAGTTTACTTCTATCCGAAATTGGCTCTACCCAAAGTTGGTACCAGCATTGAGAAGCACGTTCCTGTGGCCATAGAACGCATTTTCAGGGGTTTGATCAAATGCCGGGGCGGACACGGCTTACCCGCGCAGGCAGTAATTTCCTGCCTTTGCGTCAGGGGGCGTGGCCACTCATCATCACAGATGCGGCGAGGAAGTGTACAGCCTCTTAACTTGTACATGTTGATTGTGTAACACGTACCGGATATTTAAATAAAAGAAATGTATATTTTTAAGCGATCTCCAAAGTTACAAACTTACTTCCCAAACCCTAACATAGCTTGACTTCCCGCCTTCGGTACGCCCAAATATCTCAGTGTATTATTGGACAGAAGGGTCATATATAGAACAAATCTTATACAGAATTACATAGACAACTAGAAAAACCTATCAATTCACTTCCCAACTCAAGAATTTACTCCCGATTCAATTAAATCTGCCCATACCCTTCTACCAATCCGCGATACATCCAATACCAATCTTTGCTTTCGCAAAGCGGGCTGCCACTTTCTAACCAAATGAAAATGCAAACCTTCCAAAATAAATGCCTAAGAACAATTACTTAAGCACCCTTGCTTATCCCAAACTCTCAGCTTCGTCAAGAACTTGAACTCTTTATCACAGTATATTTCTCATTTTTATCCTTCCAAACCCACGGCAAAATTTTTCGAATACAGCCAGGTATAAACTTTAACATCCAAATACAAAAAATCACATCGGAAATGTAGAAAGCGAAAACTCTCAGAGAATTATTCAATTCGCATTTAAGTCCCTGGAGTAGATGAGATTTCTTCAAATAAAATTATTGTAGTCCTACAAAGTATTGTTCACGAAGAACTCGTATAAACTGAAACTAAATATACAATTCTTCTAGATAATTCATGTAAACAAATAGTTACAAGATGAGGCAATGGGAGCACTTTTATGTAGGATTGCGTCAAAAGATATGATTGTGGGACGACTGTAAAAATGTTTTCTTCAATGTACACCAGTGATAATTAACAAGGATCAATTGAAGGTTTTTTTTACAAGAACCAAACTAGTCCAAAATCGTGATTTTTGCGTGTGCATAGTGCACACAAAAAGTATGTGCAGTGTGACGAGTGCATAGTAATAAATTGATGATTTTGTATAATTAGATGTATGTATTTCGAAATAATATTTTAGGCAAAATATGATAATTTGGTACTCTAGATTTATGTATTCAAGAACAAAAAAAGAAAAAAAACAGTAAAAACTGTGTGTGATGTATGGGAGATCTGCCCACGGTTTCTTGAGTTTCAGAATCCCTTCTCATCATTTTAATTATAAATAGTTGAAAAATGAGTAAAAGTTTAAAATTTTAAGCAAGCGCAAGATTAGGAATTTTTGAAAAGACATTTTCGTTCCCGAGTTATAGAAAAGTTATTTGTATCGGTAAACGAATTGCAAGTATGATTTTTCTGCATTGCTAACAAAATAGGAACTCGCCCTTAACTCTACTCCTACCCTTACAAGTAAAAGGAGAGTTCATCAAAAGGTGCGCATAGTGAAGCTACATTTAATTTCAGAAGCAAAACAGGGGCCATCCCAGCATTTGCTCAATGGATCAGGGAAACTGGACAAAAACCTGATCATTAGCTCGGAAGCTGAAGTACAATATTGGTTACTAACCTTTTAAGTCCTTTTTAACAAAATTATACAATACAAATGTAAACTAAGTCAATATATCACTGTTTCGTTAAAATAAACATTATTTTTCTTAAATATTATTTCAGGAAATGTTATGCAGCAGAAAAGATTTTACTTTTAACTTAAATTTGTGAACCGTCTTTAATTGTTTAATTTCATGTGGCAATGCGTTGTAAAGTAACGTACATGTGTTGTATGTTGATTTCTGATAGTGAGCTGTTGATACTGACACTTGATGAACGTGACTTGAACTTGATGAACTTGATTTTCACGACATATGTTGTAATTATAAATATCAATATTGCACGAAAATATGTTCCCACCGTTAAGCAAGTCCATTTTGACAAATATTACAGATTCATAAATATATAGGCAAGGCAGTGGTAAGATTTCAAGCTCGATTTACAAATAAATAAGAAACCTTTTTTAGACTTGCTTTTTTGAGGGGAATTGATATTTGAAATCTTTACTTTTTGCACAAAATTTGTTTATTGTCAATAAAATGCTAAGAGAAAATCGTCAGACATTTAGCATACTTTCACTATATCTTAAATCCCTTTTAACTACGAGAATACAGAGCTTTCAAAAAGTCTCTCCGCAGTGGCTGTCCCCCCACTCCACCAGCCTTCCTGTATAACTTCAGAAATTAAATATGATATATAGTATGCCGTGGTATATTTTTAACGGCAATGAGGTACAATTAATTAAAGTTAAGAGTTTTTAAATTGACTATTTTACGCGATGTTAAAAAAATGTGCTTTTTCATTCATTGATTACATGTTTCAGTGCACAAAATTTGAGAATTTGTTAGAGTATTATAAGAAAAGTAGACTATATACATCATTTAATTTTTTTGAATACCACACATATTGTACATACGCCTTCCCATAGGATCCCTCTACATCTGCTTTTTTATGGGATTTACTTCCCACTTGGAACAAACCGTGTTGGATGTGAGAAAAAATGGCGTGGAAAGCACCATGCTCAAACGCATATTAAGCAAATATTTACCATTAATGAAGCATGTAAATATTGGTACTCGTTTGAAAATAATTCTGAGTGAACCTCTGGATTGACCTGCATTGAACATAACGAGATAAAACATCCCAGTGGGTTTGAACCCGGATCCCTCCACTTTACTACATTCATTTGACATCCATGAATCAGCATAATGTTTTCTCAATTTCATAGCAAAATGCCAAGCTGGAATACGCTGCCTTTGCGAAGAACCAATGGGATAATTACTTCAGTCGAGTCAACAGCTCTGACTTAGATGAGGAGCTCATGAACCGGCTTGGATATTTGAGAAATTTGGTCGATCCACTAGAAACGGATGATGCTAAAGAGGTATGCGATATATATAATATCATCATAAGATTTTAAGATTTACTACTTTCACTAATTAAACAACGCATTCACCTGTACATAAAACACAAATTTTAATGCTTCCGAATCTTGAAAAATGAAATTGGTTAAAACGTATCGAATAGAATTGAACACTTGCCATTTGATTCCAATGGAGATAATAATGTTAATAGTAATAATAATTAATATAATTATACTTTTTCGTATTTTCAGCTCACTGCTACCATAACAAACATGTCAAATACTTTTTCAACTGCAAAGATTTGTCCCTATCAGAGAGACACCTGTGAAGGAGAGGAAATGCTTAATCTTGATCCTAGTAAGTTGTACACCACAAATTTTAAATTGAATTTTCTAATGGAAAACTAACATTCGTCAATAAATTTAAATAACGCGGACGGCGGGATGGACGGGCGGGCGGGACGGACTTTTGTCGACTGGTCCCCAAAAAATTGGGTCGGTAAGTTCTATCAGTAGCTATAACTTTGTGAATACCCTGACCTGGCATTTTTGTCTACTCGACATGAAATCCTATAAATTATAATTAGCGTTTTCATTTTCTATTTCTCTAGCAAAAGACAATCTTTTCGACAACATATACTAGTCATAATTGACAATTTTTATGTGGTAGTAATTTTTTTCAGATATTCTTATTATGATATGTTATCAAGATCTCGTGTGATTAAAGTCAAAGTTATTAAAAAAAATTGAATCATTCTAATAATTTTAAATATTCAATTTTCCTGCCAGAGGTTTGAATGAAATGATTCACTTTCACGAAGGAAGAGGTTAATGATGAATGTTAAACCATGATTTGAGTAAAGCAATTTCCTTTAAGCAAGTGAAATTGCGTCCTTTAGTCTGAAGACTTGGGAACAAACCAACTTACCGAGTCATATTGATTGCCGGAATTTTATTTGTGACCGGTGGGAAGAGCGGGAAATTAGTCTTGAGTTGCTTTTACTTCGCTCATTAATTCATTTCATCGTGCGCAGATGAGCTATCGCAATATTGTCTTAATTTTGCCGTAAATGCGGGGAAAAGTACATGTCAGGATGAAGGTGGTAAAGATATAACGATAAATCAGAGAGTAGCAATGATTAATTCTTATGGAACAATGGAAGAATGAGATACGTGGTAAAACAGGAGCACCCGAAGAAAATCAGCGTCTGTCCATGAAGTGAAAAGCAGACTTGACTTCTATGCAAAAACATGGTCTAAAAGATTTCCATTATCACAAGTTAGATAACAACGAAGGTAAGAAAAAATATTTAAGTTTCAACAAAACAATTGCACAAAATTTCAATGAAGCAGGTGATAAGTTATTTTTTAATGCAACAACGAAATCATCCAATGAGCTTTTTGTAGAGGCCAATGTCACGCAGATTTTTCCGTTCGTCTCCTTTGGAAGAGAATGTTATTTGCTAATTAATTGTTGACCCTGTTATGACATTTCAAAATACATTTTTGATAACTTTTGAAATTGTCTTAATATTTCTGATTTTCATAGAATGTTATGGAAATACTGTTAATTGGGTTCCACAACTAGCGCAAGTGTTGTTATAGGATACAAAAAACCAGTCTTAATATTAATATAAATTGAGTATATCTAACACGAATAAAAATTTCCACGAGGAATTTCAATATATGTAATTTCTTATCCCTAATTGTAATTCTTAATTTATAATTGCTTCAATTACAATTAAGAATAGGTTTAAGAAACATTTAACCTTGAAAAGCTGCAAAATTTTAAGCGCTGAATAAGTTACGAATCATACAATGGTTTCTACTTGCAATTTACATTACATTAATGCCTTACTTACCTTATTAATGCCCTTCTTCGTAGGCAGAAAGTGAGTTGTATTAATTTTTGTGCGATTATTAAACATTACTTACTTTAAATCAATAGAATCATTTTCAAAAGCGCTCTTAAAACCTTTTTAAGAATTTTAAGTGTATTGTATTTGAATGCTTAGAATATACGTTCGGATTATTAAACCCATTTTGTACATTGCGACTGTATTTCATATGAAATATACAATGCTATCCATGTGTGAATCATATTTAAATTTCATTTCCAAATGTAATAATAAATTCTTGTAAGCAGTTTATTTTAGCATCAAGAATGCTTTGTATTGCTTCTCAAATGCTACTAGGTTTGGAAGAAATTATGGCTTCATCTAGGAATTATAACGAGCTCCTCTACGTTTGGAAAGCTTGGCAGAATGCTTCAGGGAAACAAATACGCGATACGTACAAGAAATATGTAATATTGAAGAACAAAGAAGCTAGGCTAATGGGTAAGTTTTGCTCTTAACGAACTTTATTAACTAATTTTTATTCTCGTAAATCAAACATTTAATCCCTTATTATATAAGAGTATACTTTGAACGATGATGTTAATACATGCCCGTGAAGTGATTTCACGATATGAGTGAGAAACTGTTAACAGGTGCTGCTGACTATGGTGAAGTTTGGAGGATCCCTTACAATTCCGATAATTTTCAGGATGAACTGAGGAAACTATGGGAGTCCATAGAACCCCTTTATGTGGAGTTACACAAGTATGTACGCACAAAACTCAAATTGCACTACGGAGACCAAATGGATATATCAGATGACTTGCTTCCTGCACATGTGCTTGGTAAGAATCTCTCTTTAATACTCAAACATCTGGTATTATGTGACTTTGCATGCCGCTTCTTGCATGCCGCTCTTGCTCTTGCATGCCGCTCTTGCTCTTGCATGCCGCTCTTGCTCTTGCATGCCGCTCTTGCTCTTGCATGCAGCTCTTGCTCTTGCATGCAGCTCTTGCTCTTGCATGCAGCTCTTGCTCTTGGATGCCGCTCTTGCTCTTGGATGCCGCTCTTGCTCTTGCTCTTGGATGCCGCTCTTGCTCTTGCTCGACAACGTGCGTCTCTAATCTTCTACTACGAGCGCTCATGACGCATGTGCTGGTTAACCTTTTTTGTTTATGAACCATTTTTTACTAACCGTTATTCTCAAATAACGACAATTTTTAATTCACGGAACTGAGATCTGGTCAATTAATCATCAAAACAGCAACAGAAAAGAAAATTGGAACACATACGGGCAATCTTTCTCGCACTTGTTTTGCGCACATTTGGTAAAGCAGAATTCTGTAGAATAGGTATCTCAAAACTGTCCCATGAACAACATTTTATTTAAAGGTTTTTACAACCGAACACAACACTGTATTTTAGCACTCTTTAAGACACGGTCTTTCTTTTCCCACCGGCAATGTTTACAAGAAACACCAACTTATGAAAACTAACAACCTAATAATCTTACAAAACCATCAGCGAACCCACTGAGTTTAGTTCAGTGCCAGCTTTGACACTGACTCGGCAACGACTCCGGCAAGGAAGTCCTACGGTCCGAGTCCGACGATGGCCGCATTTTCGACAGTGGTTGGGTAGTTAGGTCGAATGGGACCGCTCTCTGCAGGAGAATTGTAGATGTCGGCTAGTCTGATCGGTAGTTTTCCGTGATTTCTTCGATCAATATCAGAATTTGGGACTGAACCCTAACAAACAGGCCAAGGACCGCACGCGAACTTTCCTTCCTCTTTCTTGTCCTCTTCTCCTGCATACATACACACCCACACAATTTACATTTACGTGCAATTTACTACCATACACGTCGGGAGACCAGAAGCGAACTCAGAACTTGTACTGACTGGGACTGTGCCTCCTGGGGGAAATACCTGGAGGAGGAAATACTGCGCAAGTGACGTGTAAGTGAGCACCGGACATTATCATCTAGTGAAGGAACACCTCTAAATCCTACGATAAAACATTTACTACACTAATAGAACTGATGACCATGGCAGTTGACGGGTCAGGAACTCTCAATTAATAAACCATCATTGATGCCGGATGAGCAGCAATCTCGATTGTTTAAGCCCAACTGATGAGCACGTTGCATGTAACGCACATATATTAAGGTATACAATTTTTTTAATTTTTAAAAACAATTTCTTCTAAGAACATACGTTTTTAATTATTATTTTGTTCATATCTCTAAAGAAGAGCTCAGCATTTAAGCGTATCTGCTTCTTCACTTTCGCTGTTGCGTTAGCGAAATGCTTTTATTCTAATGTTAATTTTTAATACCGTTGGATTGTTCTCATCGAGTCGTTCACTCTCGATTCTTTCTTTATTTTAGAAGATGATATCCTCTATATTTTCCTTTTTCTGCCTTTGATATACAGGCTCCTAACACTCTTTGTATTGTCTGAATGAGGGCAGTCATATGGTCCGATACCATAAAAAAGTTACATTATTGCAAACAAGAACAATCTATTATAGGCAACCTTTTTTGATCTTTTAAAAAAACGATTAAAGGCTTTTGTTCTGAATTGTGCAGTACAGATACCGCAACACGGTTTTTGAAGTCCCCCCTTCCACGTTAAATAGCACTATTTTCTTCTAATTTATTTTTTATGGGAGAAATTGTTGACTGTTAAATCTGATTACAGGAGATATGCATGCATCGACTTGGATTAAAATATTTGATCTCGTGAAGCCGTTTCCGGAGGGTAGTGATATTAATATAACTCAAAGTTTAATCGATCAGGTGAGTTGAATAGGCATTTTATGCGGATAAAAATATATGTAAAATGCTAGAAAACATAATTAATTATTAAAATATAACATTACGGTTAGCCAAAAATCATATAATTAATCTGTTTTTGCAGGAATATGACGTCCTTCAAATGTTCAAGACAGCGAATGATTTCTACATGTCGTTGGGATTAGAGAACTGTTCTATGTCGTATGACGATGATGCAATGATAGTTCGACCGGAAGGCAGAGAAGTTGTCTGTCACCCCTCTGCGTGGGACTTCTGCGACGGAAGAGACTTCAGGTGGATCTTAAACGATTTCGAATTTAAAGTTAAAACTAAACAAGTATGTTGATTCATGTAGAAAAACTATCAAACCAATTTTAGTTCTATTTGACAGTGGAGATTCTTTACTCTTCTTTACAATTTTTAGAGGACTTTTTGTTTGTCTTCTGTAGAAAATATATACTAAAATTGTAACATTTAAAAAAATCTCGTATTGTCAACAAACTTAGCAAACAGAAAATATAGTTACTTATCTTTGCTGCCAATCACATTAACTGCTACTGTTTGGAGAAAGTAGCGCTCGTCAATATCCTCATATCTGAACATGGTTAAAAAAGAAGTTTTAAAATGTTCAAAATTTTCTTCGTAATATGTTCTCTTTTTGTCAGGATTAAAATGTGCACAAAAATAAATATGGAAGATTTCCTAGCAATTCATCACGAAATGGGTCATATTCAATACTACATACAAGTTAAAGATTTACGTGAAGAGTTTCGGAATTCTGCAAATCCAGGTACAAAAAATGTGTACGGTAAATTGTCTTGTATACGTTTTATGGGAAGAACACATTTAAAATTACTAAAATATCGAAAATATTATTTCACAGGATTTCATGAGGCAATGGGAGACGTAATTTCTTTGTCAGTGACATCTGCAAAACATTTAAAAAAATTAGGTTTGCTTACAAATGACTACGAGGATACCTATGAAAATGACATAAATTTTCTGATGAAAACAGCATTGGACAAGGTGAGAAGATAAATGATTGTAAATGAAATATTAATGAAACGCAGTCTTTTATTTGACTCACGTGACATTTCCCATACTCATTTCCCAGAAATCTAAATGTACTCAGTGTCTCAGAATAAATGTAACAATTTTTTATGGCTTGTAGAAACGTCGATAGTGATCACTGTTTGCGGAATTTGCTCCGATTGGTATGCAACGTAGTGCGCATAGATGTTTTGCTGAATGAAACCTCATTGAGTGCGCTGGAAAATTACCTACCGTATACCGCAACATATTCATTTGTTTTCAGATGAAATGCATGGTTCAGTAAAAGCACTTATCAGATGTGGTTTTTCAGGCTTTTGCTAGCTTGAAAATCTAAGATAACTTAATCTACACATTGAAGAGAATACTCTAGGGGAGAACTTCGGGGTTTTGCATCATGGTTGGTAAGATTTCGAGAAAGGCTTCGAGCGGGATTCGTGGGTTGGGTTTTTCGCTAGTTTGAAATGCTGGTATATCTATTAGTTTTCTAAAAATCGTGTGGTATATGGGCTATTTGAATTATTGTTTTGATGTTTAATTCAGAATGGAATTGTTTATTACTTATAAACCAGGAGACATTTGTGATTAATATAATATATTTATTTTGAATTATTTAAAATGTATTGATATTTGTAGGGTCTGCGTTTGTTCATAATCGGCATGCGTAGACCATTAGTGGCTTTATTATAGTTTTATATATTGTAGAGTTTGTATATGATAGGGATTTGTGTATGTTGATTAGCGGCCGGAGTTGAAATAATTTGTTTTTTTTCTTTTTAATTTTGATGTCAATAGGAGTTTCCCAGGTTAGTTTTGTGTCCTGGTAGAGTCCTTAGTATTTTACGGGTTCTGATGAAACGAACCAAATGATAGAGCTGTTTATTACTAGCGGAGAGAGGACGAAAACTTTCTGAGTGAGAAGATTTTTGCTATTGTTTTGTCAAGATTAAGTTGAATTTTCCGGAAAGTTTCTGTTTTACCAAAATAGTTTTGATTTTGTGATTGGAGGTTATTAAATGAGTGTCCAGGACCGTATGCCAGTGCGTTAAAAGTTACCTGAAAATCAGGGGCTTATGACACGTGTAACTCCAATTTCCCCACTACTTGTTCATTGTCAAAAAGTGATAACTTTTTTGCATCTCTGCAAGTTCTAGAAAATGTAACATTTATTGTAAGATACCCTCTTTTTAAATTGTAATGGTCCGAGGAAAAACAAATGTTTGCAGAACCAATCATTGCTTAGTTTGTGTACATGTAAAGTCACGAATTAGCCGGTTAATTATCCACAAAGGCGGATAACGTTCGAAATACGAACAATAACGAAGCATCCGTTGAACTTTAACCAGATAAAGTTGATATAGACTTGACAGATACATAGACAGATTAGTTTTCTGAGATGTGTTATGTTTATAATTTCCTTTCCACCTTTCATCTCATGACCAAAACGACTATGTTATACTTATAATGCAATACTCTAACAATTGGTTACCCGCATTCCATTTAAACCCCTTACATTTGCAGAAATGGTGGGTAAAAGATCAATTAACTAAGGTTATTTCGAAACTAATTTTATTTGATATTTGATCATGAAAGAAAATAATTGAACATTTCACAAAAACAATCTTCACACTCGTGCACACTTGACATAGTCACATTTCATGTGAAGTGAAGTACCATACTTGGGAAGCTTTGAAATTACATCTTCAAAAAAATCTGTCCGGAACTATCCCTCAAATTCTACGTTGCAGTTTCATTGCTTTTTAAGTGCTGAGAAGGAAGCCATTTTTTCATTTACAAGATGAGTTGGTAATAACAGGGAGTCACGTCAGGCTAGAATAGAGTATAATTGGACACTTTTCAGAATTGAAATACTAAAGACGATGAATGCAAACAGTGCGAAGGAAGACATTAATACATAAAAACACAAGAGGAGAACTTGGTATCACGTGACGTACGTTTCCATGCGTCTGATTAACTCCTATTGATGTCGAACTTGTGTTAGTTGTTATTTAATTTATTATTAAATATAACGTAATTTTAGAATGCTTATGAAATTTCGATCTTCTTCCACAATATAATTCAAGCAACAAAAAATGGTAAAAGAAATGTACTCATATACGACAATTCTAAACTACATTTATAGAAACAAAATATAGTCTGTATCACAAGGCCGAATTTTCACAATATCTAAATCACATTTTGTGTGCTTGGTGTTTGTGGTGATCTAAAAACAAGTCAACGCTTATGGAGTACTTTAACGTGTTCTCAGGTGCCTAGCTTACCTTTCGCTCTCGTCGTAGACTATTGGCGTTGGAATGTTTTCTCCGGCTTATCCAGTGATCATTGGAATAAGGAATGGTGGCAATTAAGGTATGCTATTTGTTTGTATTTAATATTCACTCAACTATCACGAACATAACTTTCAATCAATTTAAACGTTTAAAGATTTGCTTTAATTCTCTTCATTGCACATACGCGGAAAGAAATAATCTGCTGCTTTTTCAAAAGAAGTTTTAAAGTGAATTATTGAAAACTTTCTGTTAATTTCTTCTCTATAGTATTTTGTTTTTATAATAAGTAAAGTATAACACAGTTTCTTCAACAGGCTTACTAGAGTATCAAAATCGTTGTAACTACAAGTGAATCATTTTCAGAGAGCAGATTCAGCGCATAAAACCTCCTGTTTCGAGAACTGAGGATGATTTTGATCCGGGAGCGTTGTATCATGTAGCAGACGATGGAGAATACATGGCGTAAGTGTCGATTGATATACCCGAGTGAAGTGGCTCAAAAATTATTTAATATTGAAAGGGGGCTAAAATAAGCGAGTTATAGTGTCATTAAAATTATTTTTTTACCAGAAAATGTTTAGAGTATAACTTAAACAGTTAAAAAATTTCTTTCTCGAATCAAACATGCGAGATAATTGCTTGTCCTAATGAATTTTCTTTCTGTGCCTGTGATGTCTACAAGGACCGAATGTAAGTTTCTTAACGTTCATTTGAACCTAGAAACATCAAGCATACTAGAACACACCAAAAATGTCCCCAAATCTACTCTAATGTGAATGTGAAATGTATTAAAATCTCTCAAAAACAAATGAGAGCAATTAAATCATTTTGCAATAAAAATAGTCTATACATTTTTCTTCTTTTGTTTATCCGAATTGAAATACTACACTTATATTAGTGAAAAGGTTCACTTAACGACTACCTTTCATTCTCAAAAAGGCGATTAGTTTGGTACTAGTGCTACTCGCATCTGGAAAAAAGTTCCTCCCATGATCCTTGCAATATGAATCTGACACTAAATGCGATTGAATTGCTGATGACTGCTCTCACGTACTCTTGCAGAGTTTGTGATGTTCCTCTATTGATCTCTGTCCTCTCTAACAATTATTCTCAATGTTACAGATATTTCATCGCAAATATATTAGAATTTCAATTTCATAAATCTTTGTGTGAAGCTGCGGGGCAGTATGAGCCCAAAGATTACAAATTGAATCCTCTTTACAAATGCGATATCTTCCACTCGAAGGCAGCTGGTGATCGTCTTAGGTGAGATGGCCATTTTATCACTAATTGAAGGTATCGTAAGATTGTGGCCCACTTGCAAACAAAATATACAAAATCTGTAGTTAAATATAATCTACATATTTGCGAGCACAAAATAAAATTCATTTTGAAACTGTCTATTATAGGAAAGAAGTGTGCCTTTGTAATATTTTTATTTAAAGTAATTTCGTAATGTGGATAGTTGTTTTATTGAATTTCAGATTTAATGTACATTGCTTTCTTATTAACAGAGACTATTTATAATACGATTTATTATTTTTAGGAAAGGAATGATGATGGGTTCATCGACTGACTGGCGAGACGTCCTTGAAGTCATCACTGGGCAACGAGAATATTCAGTAGATGCAATTTTAGAGTACTTCAGGCCTCTTCATGAATTTTTGGTTACCGAAAATGCCTGTGAGAGTGGTAGTAGAAGGGTCGGTTTAAAATGTTTGGCAAATAATATTCAAATTCCAATTATTATCGGATGTGTGGTGGCTGGTGTGGTGATTTTCGGACTCATTCTTTACTTAATAAATCGTCGGCGATCCACCAGCTTTGCAACGGCCGTACCGACATCAGAGGAGGCAGTTGCTCTCTCGTAGTTGTCTTTTTAACTATGCCATATAGTGTCCCTCATTTATAGAAGTGCGTAATTATTAATTACCTACTTCTAATCTAAGATATTTCAAAGATAAATGAATCGTTTATTATAATATTAATCACGTATAAGTGCACAAAAAAACCCTGATATTTTCAAGAATGTTTGATTTTTAAGTATGTTTTGTTATATGCCTAAACATTAAAAAATTAATCGTATATTTCTGTAATTTACGTAGTGTAAAAGCATTTACTTATTATAAAATAAGCGATATTTGTCTGAGCATCTAATCTGCGTTTTGGCATGCTCGCCGTTAATGGCGTATTGGCGTATCGCCGATTATGGCGTATTTAACATCTCAAAATCTTGATTATTTCTTGTTTAAATGTTAAAGTGTGTGTAGATAATATGTAATTTCAGTTTACTTCTTTGTATTAAAAGTTTTTTGACACACAAATCCGCTAAAGTATTTACGGGGATAATGTTTCAAGGCTTCATTCAGTAGAATTTTGAGGACTTCTCAAACATTTGGGGAGACAGTTTATTGTAAGTTTTTTGACCTTAATAAACAGGCTGTGAGTTTTTTGTAACAATTTATTTCATGTTAAATTTGGGAAGAAACATAAAGAATCAAGTTATTATAATGGTTATATTATTACTATTATGCATTATTCATTGTCGAAACAAAAATATTGTCACAAAAATAAAGTAAAAAGATGAATATGAGCATTATTTTTGCATTATATCTGTTTAAAGTATAACAGAAAGCTTTATTTTGGAAAAAGAAATACTATTTTTATATCCTAAACAATTTGACTAATTCTTAGAGCAAATGTGCTAGTGCTTAATTAATCTTTTGTGATGAACATATGGTATTTCTTTAAAATGGCCATCTTCTCTGGCCCTTTTCACTGTCAAAGTTCATTCGGGCACAGATTTGTTAAGTGCTCGATTTTCATCCTGTTATTCTTCTCGTAATGTTTATTGGCACTATAGACACACAAACGTTTAACATCACACTGATTTGGATTAATCAATTATTTGATAATATAAAATTATGCCCATTTATACTTACTCTCTCATGTTATTTCATTTCAATCTTTGTCAATAAATAAAAGGTCATTCCTCGTAAATGTTATCGACTTATATATCTACGCTGCAAGTTCCGTATGTCATCCTACTGCCTGCAACCTCCATCATAAACTACTCTTAGAGAGGAATAACTACCTGAAAAGTCAACATTCAGGGTTTTATGGCTCGTACCTTTCGAAAAGTCATCATGACTGGATTATTCGTTGCCCATATCACATGATCACGGATAACAACTAGGTTCTGCAAAAAAATGTAGATAATACAAGTAGAATATTCGGAAGGATATCACTCTTAAGTAGTTGTAGATAATATTTTTGTTGGTAACGGTTTCTGCATACTATAATACTGCGGATGACTGAATCTTGCCGTACTAACATGTTAATAGTGACTGAGCGTTAAGAGCCAGATCAAGATCTGAACAATGAAAAAAAGTTTTTGAATATCTGTAGCTTGCTTAGTAATTGGTTCCGAAATAAATATAAATAGAAAAGGTGTAGGAGAGTTTATACCCTTTAAAATTGATTTGAACAATTGTTATACAGTACTTCAGGTTAGATCAGAAAATATAAAAAATACCGGGTTTTCTGGCCTCCTAAAAATTAGCACTGGGTCTGGGGTTTTAACCAGTGCCCGGGTGCATATAACATTTGCAAAAATATAGCATTAATGCCCCTTATCCAGGTAACTGCCATTTTCAGTACTTGCCGCTTGAAATAAAGGTGCTCTTTACTGGGAATGTCCCCAATGGAGTGGTAGGAACCGCGAGAATCACTGGTAGGTCATTTAAACGCCGATAGATAGCAGCTAGGCCACGATATTAATACTGTTTGTCTCGCGTGTGTTTTGCTAAAAAAGATGGCCCGCGGCTTCAGAGTATTTGGCATCTTGAGCTTTTCTACAAATAGAGTTCGCAGGCATTAAATTTGTATGTCACGAAACCCATGACCGATACGAAATTCTAAGCGAGAGCTTTCGGACTACATACTTGCTAAAGTGTTTTCCATCCGGAACGTTTATACTTTCCGCTCTGAAAGTTCTCTGGAATCCAGTGCATTTTGGGCTACATTATAAATTTTCCGCCCAATTCTTTCAATATGGAAATGATTCGCCCCTCGGGACAGTTTTCTAACACTGCTTTCCTGCGTGTGCTGATTCGCAACACGTAGTTTGGCGAGTGTCCGAAAGAGTGCGACGCCAATTAGCGTCCTCTCCTTTAGAGCCCTGCATTGATGCCACTAAGAATGGTGATTCTGGGCGCCCTGGTGTTTAAGTCGGAGTGTGTCGGTTATTCTGTGATAGCGAAATGCTTAAAGAGTTTATAACAAGCTCATTACAATACCATTTCAGTACCCGGGTAATATGATTGGGTCCGGGTCAATGACAGACCCCAGAATAAATAACCATTATCTGCTTGCATATTGCTTAAAAAATTTCATTACACCAATATATAATTCTTAAATGTACATGGTGACACTTTTTAGGATATTACGGAAAACAACATGAAGTTCTAATTGCATTATTGCAATATTTTTAGGTGAAAGGTTGAACTATCTACAGATTCGTAGAGAGTGCCCATACTATCACGCCGGGCAGATAAGGGATAAAAATTTAAATTGAAGTAATTTACATTGATCAGGGACAAACATTTAAACTGAAGAGTATTTAACAATATTTTACATAAAATTTCCGGAGGTTTGTTACTGTATTTTCAGGTCAGTATTTTCAGTCAACTAATTCAACATTCACTACGGTAATGTGAATGTCGAAGTGTGTTTTACAGCAACAGTAGTAAAGTAAGGTTTTAACGTGTTTATAGGCGAACCAGGTTGTGAGAGAATGCTGGAGTTTCTACAAAGTGATTTCGCATAGCGACGGTTTCTATTTTTATAAACATGCAATATGTGTTAAAATACAAAACTCTTCCCTATGATCCGGCTGTGACCCCACGCCCTTTCTAGGGGTACGCGATTGTTAATGAGACATCTCTTTTAGCTAATCATGCTGACTCTGGCAAATCGTGCACTCCATTTGCGGCGCGGGAAATGGGAGGCTTGCTTTCTCGTTTGCGAGCACTTTATCTGCGTTTGGCGACCTGGTGCCGAACCTCCATGGAGTGTTTTGGAAGTGAGCGACCTCCGATGCAAGTTATAGTGTAATTGAGGAGCTAGATGGAAGAACGACTTAACTAAAAAAAACATAGTTTGCAGGAAAACGAGTCGAAAGTTTTAACATGTGATTCTTTTACCGGCAGACAATTTAACATGCAATATATTTATTTTGTAAATTTTATGGAGAACGAGTTGCAATCAGAAGATTAGAAAACGCTGTAGTCATAATGTACACAAAACAATGTAAGTAACATGTACGTATTAAGTAATTTTTCCTTATGTTTGATTATTTCCTAACTGTTAATTGAAACTGTTTTGAAGACAAAATAAAAACTGGTTACATGTTTAGAATCGACTTAAGATATAAAATATTTATACAACATTGTTTTTCATGCATATAAGATGATGAACCAAAACACTAGTATAATGTACGCCCCTGCACACGAGCGTTGCGTTGATGCGCGATAAGCAACGAGCGTCGACGTAACACTCGTGTGCCAGACCTTCAGGATATATTTCTCCCTCGTGCTTATTTAATACAATATCATTGCTGTCATTACGATTTAAACCAAACAAGAAAAAATAAACTTAAAATTCTCGAGATGACGTCACATTAACGAAATATAAAGAGAGACTCTTCAGTGCCGTGAAAATAAGAAATTGGCGTGGGAGCTGTTCATGCCAAACATTCCAAACGGTGCCATTGAACATCGGCCCCTGCGCATCCTCTCGTTATCGCCATTCTCCTGCATTCTAGAGTCATTTATATGAGCTTCTTGAGTCTTGTAGAGTCATTTATTTCAAGTTATTTATATACATGAAACCCTTTAAATAGACCACAAACAAAAAAAAAAAACGAAAGAAAAAAGCGAGGTAAACTAAATCATCAATTATTTCCTTCAAATTAAAGTTGTACTTTCCTGAGTGCTCTGTTTAACTTTAAATGAGCTCAGCGTACGTAGAATTTCAAGCAACATTGTTTGAGAAGTGTTCAGTTTTCTGTGTTTGTAAACATTAATTAAAATTTAGACTTCAAATATTCATATTGAAATTAGTGCAACGTCATTTAGGACGCCTTAAATAGTAAAATTAAATCTAAACATTTTAATAGTTTAATTACGCTAAGTTCTTTGGATAGCCCTAAGACAACCCACGTTTTACTGCAGCGTCTTGCTTGTATCCTGTTAATTAATTGTAATAGTTCTCGTTCATACATTATTTATTGTGAATTCTCGGGAACAGAAAACTCTCATTTTCGCTCCCTAGTCCTGCCTCAATAAAAAAAAAAATTTGTCAAGGAAATAGTATTTTCTTTAAAATACTTCTCTGTTTAAGTGTCTGCTGTTTGCACGCTTTCCACTATAGCCACGCAGTCCATCTTTAAATGAGATAGTCTATATCCACCTCGCCCACGATTCCCTCTTTTTGATAACTGACGAGAACCTTTCTGCACCTTCTATTTACTTCTGCTATCTCAGAGGCCACGCAGCGTGTCAGTATCAGTCCATCAAACGAACGGGCGGGTCCCAAATCGACTGGTTTTTGTACACCATTCTATCCATCGAATAGAGATTCAGTTATAACGAGCTTAATTAAAAGAGTCAAAATAACATATTTTTTACTTCACTGACAAAATATTGTACAATATGGTTAATTAAGTATTATCAATTATCGACATTATTTATAATTTAAAATTAAATTTACACAAGTTATTTCAAATCGGGTGTAAAGAAAGGTAACTATAATTTGGTAACCCAACGCCCGGGAAAAAAATTCACAAAATGTCATAAAATATGCTTGTTTCTGTAAATTAAATAGTACTGTACGGAAAAGTTTGTATTTAAAAATTAAACATTTTTTAAATAGTTTCTAAATTATAGTATGATGATGATAATAAAATTCGATGTTTTGTGTATTATTTAGTCCATCTTTTCCTGAGGGGGATCCTAACACAATACCTCAACACGGCGAGCCCCAGCGACGAAGTGCGCGGTAAGGGCGCGCTTCGGAAAGGTCGAGTTTCGATATCCCGACAACGCTGTCCTACCGTTCCCGGGGCAGACTGACGAAATGCCCCCGACTGCTCAAGTAGATAAAGATATGATAATCGCGTTTTCAACGTTGTGTTAAAGCTGGCGCCGTACATCCATCTTGATTCCTCTGCATTTAGTGCAAACAATGCTACCGTGTGTATGCGGATAAAGTGATATACCTGTAAAAATGAGTAAAATTGCACTACCTGATTGTTTATTGTAGAAGGTAAAAAAGAATTTACTCTCGGAGCGAGTCAGTATTACTACATCCACAAATGGGTTCTGTACTTCGAGAAGTGTTTAATTGGCGGTATGTCACTTCAGTTCTGAATACCAATACAACAATCTAAAACTTGCGTCGCTATTTGCCTTTCAATGCAGTCGGCGCAGACGTCTTGGCGGGAGGTATGGAGTACAAAAGACCATAGTCGCTGAAGGAGCCTCCACTTGCTTCATGATGACACTAGTATGGACGATGCAGATCAATTTCCTAAAAGTCAAGTAAAAAGGTAATAATCAATAATTAAAAATATGTACGGAAAAATTGTTTTATTAGGTAAGGCTATGGGGCCCCTTTGGAAATTTTCAGAGTAACCACGGCCCCCCAAATGACCCCCTTATGCGCACGTTGATGAAGGCAATGTGTAGTTTTAACTAGTGACATTGTTCGATCAGGTATCGTCTCTAAAAAGAATGCTGTGATTATTTATACAAATCATGGAGAAAAGGATGTAAAATTAATACTCTGGTAAGGAAATTAAAAGTACGTCTTAGGTAAACGGAAACAGCCCCCAGTCACCGATTATTAAGATTCACTTTAATTAATCATTGAATTAAACTTTTAACTTTTAACTAGGACAACTTTTAATCAAAGAATAATACGTGTATATAACATTTTGTAAATATAAGATTTCAAGTGCACTTCAATTAAGCTCTCGCAACATAAATTCTTTGTTTCATGCGAACTCTCTCTAATGGGCGGAATGTGAAAACAATAAGGAATAGTACAGCTCCCAGTGCAACGTTCATGAAGTGAATGAGAATCATTTCTGTTTGTTCCTCATCGGCCACGCCCTCTCCAAATTTAGTTTGAAATCGAGTGTCAAAACAATTAATCACGTGAGCAAACCGAATATGACTGCCACTACTTGCGGCGCGTGCTAATAACTATTACGCACATTATCGCGCTTCTAGAAGGTGAGCTATTGGGAAAAGTAAAACCCTTCAAGGCAATTTTATGGACCCCTTCAATAATAATTATCTTCCAAAGAACCACCGCTGTCACCTGAACAGGAAACGGGAGGTCATGAAGACGTAAGCCTCCTCAGTGGCCTACGATGAGAGACGAAACCGACTGAGTGACAGTTGAGTCACTACAATTTCTCTGACCGGGAGAGACTGGGGTTCGCCTCCGACGGAGACGGGTTTTCCTCTCCTTTGTTCCCATCGCGCCGTTTACACACCCACGAATATACTCACACTTCAATTTAAATGCACTTCACTGCCACACTAATCGGAAGACGAACGGGGAGCTTAGCGCTTGTCGCGGCTGGGGCGGTGTCCCGCTGCAGATATCTGGAGGGGACGCTCCCCAAGCCGACGTGGTCGGTGAGGTCACGTTCTAGTGGGGGGAGAACGTGGCCACCGTCCGTAATATAACATGCACTATACTTATGGAATAACGACCGCAGCTATTGACACGCCCGGAAGCAAAATAATCAATATATTAAAAGAATATGGTACTCAACATATGACACACAGTGGGATTTAAAACAAGAGCTAAAACATCATACGCTTTCTCGCATACGCTTTTAAACATATATCATATAGCTCATATAATAGTTATATAATACAAACAAACTTGCATCCTATTAATTCCTCAGACATTTCATTGTAATACTCTCTTCTGAAAATTAGAGCAAAAGATTCGAATTTACAATTTTCGAAGATTGCGATTTGGGATGGAACAATTTTTAATATCATTTTGAAAATGCCATCGGAGCCCCATGTAAAGTACCCTGAAAATTTTCCTTCCATTGCAAATTCGTAGGGTCTTAAATTCGGTAAGATTGGTTTGGAAATATTGTGTACGAAAGTGATGTGTACAGATACTCCGACGAACAGAGAATCGGACAAAAAGACCTTCGGTATCCCCTCCAAACGTGCATTTCTGTCAAAATCTTGGAAGCGGCATTATACAAATTTCTTTACACTACCTCTCCGTACACACGAACAAATTCGAGAAAGCGAAAGCAGTGCCCTACCGTAAGATGTTTCGAGTCCACTCTAGTACTACTAGTACACTCTAGTACTTGGAGTCCCGTTAGTAGGTCATTTTCAACACCATAGAAATAGCTAGGTGACATTTGCGTAGATGAGAATTATAAAGGTCACCTGCTGCGATCGGCCATGACTGTGATTTCTTTAATAATAATAATAATAATAATAATAATAATAATAATAATAATAATAATTAGTTATTTCTTTCATACAATTCCTGGTGGATCGACCATTAAACCCCATTTTCTGGATCATTCCTTCCCCATCTCGAATTAATTAACCCAAAAAGTAGCTCAAGATGATGGCGCAAGAATTTTATATTTTGTGAAAGTGGGGATGCTTCCTTGGTTTTTTCTTGGGGTCGGGGTGATTTTCTAAGTTTTGAAATGTGTATTAAAATTTGCTTGTTTCGTCAGTATAAAAACGTTTGAGACTTGAAATATTAGAGATGCTATTTTTCCATCACCACTTTTGAGGTCTTTCGTTAGAAGTGTATGAGATTACCCCAAGAAATTTTTGTGTTTGAAATTAGCTTAATGTTATCCTATAACCGAAACACAAGAATGTTTGAGTATGGAGACAATAGGGTGGATCGACACCGACACGGGCAAGATCCGAACTGACGGTAGAGCAATTATAATTAAATATATTCTGGTAATAATTCTTCTCAATAGGCAATTACAGCATAATGGTATCCTTCATGGCCATTAAAATAATATCAATATTGTAGTAGATTCATGGGCCTTGGTCATTATGTGTGCAAAATTTAAAATTAATTTTCATTATTGTCGACGTTTTGAAGAATATAATTTCTCCAGAGCTTACTTGATAATAAACCACAGCTAAAGACTCACACAACTATGTACCTTCGTGCAAAAAGAAGCCCATTTGTGGAGGACACCTTCGCATCACCACACTGTAACCGATGCTGAAGATAATTATGTGCATTTAATTTTTTCCACATTTCGTCTAATAATCATGAACCTGTTAGATCACTGAAATAATGATAACTAATTTTTGTATAAAATCAAGTTTTTAAAAAAATCATATATTTAATTTCTCCAAAATCAAAATATATCACGAAAAAATATTACTTTATGTTATTTGTGGATTTAGTATTGTTCGGCGAAAACTGTAATACTATACTGATTCGTTTAGAATTTATTGGTCTTCGCATTTGGCGAGGCGTTTTGTGAAGTTGTAATAATTAGATTTTTATATTAAGAAACTTTTATAAAAAAGGCATAGTAACTACCATTTGGTTCATTGAATGAAAATTAACTTGATAATACTAATTTTTTCCATGGCTATGCACCCAAAACATTCTCGACTAATGAAATAAAACCAAATGTCGAGCAATGTAAAGTTAAGATGTTTTCAATTATTTCTGTTTAAACTTTCAGGTGATCAAATATATCTATTATTTTGCAACAATTTAGGTGTTTCATTATGCAATTAAGTACAACTAATGTATATTGTTGATTAAATAAAACTGTGAAATACCAATATCCTAATATACACATCTTTGTGTGTGTTGAAGGGTAACTTTACGAAAATTAAGTTGAAATATTTACAATAGTAAAAAGTCTGTTTAAATTCAGGGAAGCTATTGCAATAACCAGTGACACAACTAGAAAATTTATATTGGGTGCGGCTTACTATATGTGTAGTGTTCTTGATGATTTTTTATTAAACAATAATTTATCTTTAAAATGTATTTTTATTTGTTGGTTTTAGAGTTATTCATAACATATTGCATTGAAATATTGAATGGCTTTCATTTCCGCAGAAAAAATGTGTAAGAACTATCATTATGAATATGTTTTGTCAACTTCTGGAGGGCGTCAAAAAGATCTCCCCCTCGGGTGCGCTACTGATAAAAAGTGATGCATTTTATTGCAGTCTTGTAATTACATAAATAGAAAAAGACGTTGATTTGATTGATAAGTGGCAATATTTCACTGAAAGTGAAGTATGATTTTTAACACAAAGATAAAGTATTAATTACAACAGCCAAACACGTTTGAAAAACACGAATATATAACTCTTACATACATTTATACACGTAACACATAAATGTATTTCAGTAATTTTCTAAAATTCGATAGAATTTTAAATCACATGAGTCCCAGGGTAAAACGCTTTAAATATTCATAAAAAATGATTTTCAGTGAATTAAATTAATTAACTTTTATTAATTAACTAAGATAAAATTTATCTTTTGAATGGTTTAATATAATTAATCTTTTTGGAATTACTAACTTTTTACTGAATGTTTTAATCATAAAGAAGGCATACTTGGTATCACTAAAATATCCAATTTTGTTCAAGGAATGAAATTTCCTAATCAAAATTCTTCTCAGGTCTGTAACTATAACAGGAATTTATTTTATACATTGTTCTGGATACATCCCTCGACCCTTAGGCTTGCGCAAGGGGAGGGGGTAAAGAAGAGTCAAATGAACGGTGCGCTTTGAAACTTTAGAAATAGAAATTGTTCCAAGAAAATTATAAATTTATTATTTTTTAGTATTTTATTTTATTAGCCAACTGTACACCCCATTAAAGAGAATTGCCTCCTGCTCGCGCAGGGAAGTATTAATCCTCCTTTAATGAAGTGATAGGCTGATGATGAAGGGTGCAGGGACAATCACAAATACATCAACACCCGAAGCGTGACACGAACCCGCGATCCTTCGACCCGAGATCGTCACGACACTACTGCCTTAGCGATAATAAGTACCCCAGTAATTTCCTTACTAGTAAAATATGTCGTAAGTAAATAAATAAATTTGAACGCAAAGTGGTGCACACGCCCTTGCCGTGGCACCGAGGGCTGCACTTCCCTGGCGTTGCGAACATGACCCCGAAGGGAGGCTGCGGAGCCGCGGTGGCGGGAGGGGTAGGGAGCAAAGTGGAGAGGCCGTCGGCCGTCGGCCTGCCGCGTGACTGCGATTCGCGCTCGAGCGGAAATCGCGCGCCCGCCCGCGGGGCCGGGGGAGGGGGGCGCCACGCGCTCGCCGCCGCCTCGCCTCGCGCCGCCTCGCCTCGCGCCGCGAACCGCGTCAGTCAGCGAGATGGAGGCGGCGGCGGTGGAGGCGGCGAACGCGTCGAGGCGGGGTGCGCCGGGCGGGCCCAGGGCGGCGCGGTGGTGGTGCCTGGCGGCGATCGCTGTCTTGTTGGTGGCGGCTCGCGGCGGCCCCCAGCCCGCGGCCGCGCAGGCCCCCGACGAGATCACAGAGGACTGGATCAAGAAGTACCTCCGCGAGGAGTACGAGCCCGAAGTCACCAGGCAGTGCAACAGGCTCAACAATGCCGAGTGGACCTACGAAACGAACATCAACGAAGACACAGAGGCCGCGCTGGTGAGTGTACGGTTAAATGCCCACGAGAGGGGTGGCTTAAAGACGTGGTTTTTATAAAGCATACAATAGAGGGTTAATAATTACAACAGCCAAACACGTTTGAAAAACACGAACAGATCTCTTACACACATTTATACACGTAAGCTTCCGCGGCCCCAGTTCATGACTTCTTGGCTGTCCGGTTGACGCCGCGTCGTTGGCTGAGAGGCCGACGTTCCGCCTGTCATATCGCTACCTGTCATTTGACTACTCTGAGGAAGTCTACGATATGACAGGCGAAACGTCGGCCTCTTAGCCAACGACGCGGCGTCACCTGCACAGCCAAGAAGTCATCTTGCATACATTTCCTGCAATAGCAGTTTATTGCCGATAAAAGTTAATTTTTACGAATTGTTGTCGCTTTATAAAAAAATTTATAATAAAATTTCGAAAAAAGGAAAAATAAAATAAATCTTATCTTGCAAAATAAACCCGTGCTTTTTTTTGTAAAATTTTGACGTGGTTTTAACGAAATTATTTTGATGCAAAGTTAAATTATTTATTTAGATTTGGGGATCCTTCAACTGCTGATGTTACGAATTGCTGATGTTCTCTTGAATATAATCTGATGAGTAGGTGGCAGGGATAATGTAGAAATGCTGGAATGCGAGATAAGAGAAATGGGAGAACTTCTACAAAGAAGCAGAGCGCAGAGCGCAGGTCACGTGGATTGGCCAGGTATCGAACCCGGGCGCCAGTGATGGAACTTGTATGCCTTATTTATCACGTCACTAGCCCTCTATCGAGTCTATTGCAAATCAAGAGCCAAATGTAAACAAGGTGGAGTGTCATCTGAAAGTTGACAAACCAACCTTACAGGCATCTGACTCGAAGACACTGAAATTCTAGCGACAAGTTATAAGATGCAGAATATACCAGTTACCGTGCAGGGAATGTCACTTACTCCGTTCCTAGCTGGAAAGTCTGCAATTCAATTGGATTAAATTCTGATTCCCCCGGATTTCTTAATTCTTATGAAAGCAGGAGTTTCATGTTCAAGGAAATCTTTAACTCTAAGAATGCACGTTTCTACCTTCAAATATGAACACAGATTGTAGTTACTTTAAGTAAGAGAATAATGCCATGGCTAGGTCTTAAAGAAAAAAAAATGAGCGTAAATTATTCCTGTTTTTACAGTTACTCTTTCCTTCAAGGCTTAATTTGCAACTTTGATTCTTTACCATGTTGCGATGTTCCTTTTTTAAAAGCTTAATATTCTTTCACGTCAAGTGAGTGTTGGGGAAAAACGACTTGGCATGAATCGTGCTCTGACACTGCGAGAAACTCTTCATGCATCTTCAACGCGTACATCCACCACTCATCTCGTTATACCGGTAGAAAAGAGGCCTTTAGGACGGTTATGCTCGCTTTTCTCTCTGTGACTTTCCCCGCGTTCTCCGAATACTCTCTGAGTGCAACCGTATACGAAAGAACAATCTTGAAATAACTAGTTTTAAGCAGGTTTAATTTTGTCCGCTACTTCCTCTTCTAATTATGTCTTTCTTTCAAAACTCAAATTAATTAATCAAACGTTACCGTCCTTTTTTTGTTGCCAAATAATCAGGAACGTTTTATAATTATTTAAACGTGCCAATCAAATAGATGAACTCTAAAATATTATGTCACGTAAATTTCGAAAGTTACAAGAGGAAAAACATAATTTTGTGATACTGCTTCATGTAATAGAACAATATCTCCAACAAGACATTCGCAACTCGCAACATTCCAACTGGGCTTCACTAATATGTTTGCAACGACAGGACTTAACTCATTGTTTCACAAGTAGAATCTCTAATAGTTGCACTTGTCAGCATACACGCGATAATTCGATGCGGTCTTTTTTAGCAGACTTTCTGTTCGCCGCCAACGAGTTCACTCTCTCCCTCTTTTACCCGCCGCCCGAGGCACGTCGCGACGGCCACCACGTTGAATAATGGCGCGGCGCCGCGCCGCGCAGTAGACTGTTGGGGGCCGTCGAGGCGGCATTGCGATCAGGTTCTCGTCGAAGCCCTGACACGCTTAGGTGCTCAGCTGTTGAGGGAAAGCACCTGTTGTATCAGGCGGGCAGACTTCACACACAGTACATGCACTGCACGCGTGCCATACAAATATGCGAAGCGTCGCCGCCGCCGCCGCCGATACGTGTGGGGCTTTGCGTCACGCGGAAGTACTAATTGCACGGAGGGCGACTATGTAATGGATAGTAACGCGTTCGGAGTAGTGTGTGCAATCGAAAGGCCGCGGACGCCCGCGAACGGTTTGGACTGGCGACGAAAGTGGGTCATGAAAGTTCGAGTTGAAAGGAAGCGGCCAAGTGTTGAGATACTGTGAAATGGTGGATAGAGCAAAGCCGCATAAAGGAAGATTTAACGGAGATAAACCCTAAGTTTCTTCTGAGAAAGCGTGCAGGGTTTAAATTGGCACTTTACGGTCAACTTGTTGCGAGAAGAAACATGATTGGAATTGTGATAATTGAGGTGTTGAATTTTACGCTGATTGCAAAGTTCGGTAATTACTAAGAGTTGTGATCGCATATGGACTTGCAGCATAGACCTGCAGTAGAAGTTAACAATGGTAAATGTTATAATGACGGAGTTTGTTCTGCCTACGTTTGCGTACGTTTGAACTGTGTTTTGAATTTACAATGCTGATTACAAGAAGGAATATAAGAAAAGGTTTAAATATTATTTCCTAGATTCTTGAATAGCCAAGGAGTGATTTCAATTTCAATTTCCTGCAGAGTAAGAAAAAAGTATTGTAGACTAAATCTTATAAATCTGAATAAAGTCGTGTTACAGTATGAATGGGGTGACTATGAAGAACTTGATATAAGAAAAAAATATATTCTGAGGCTTCAATTTACGACTAAAACTGGAGCAGTTCCACGTATACCGTGATACACAACTCTCTGGAACATGCTCCCAGGAAAATATTTGTCCTTAAAATATCGTGTATGTATGTATAGTCGTGTAAAAACGTTCCGAAATTTGAACAGGTGTATAGAGAGTGTGCCATGAATTGTATCAAGTCTTTATTGTAATCAATAACATGGGCCAAGAACCGTAGAAAAGTCAAATCAAGGATGTAGAATTCAAATATTAAGACATGGATCATGCACATTATTATATTTGGATTACTATTATTTATATTATTATTGTTAATTGTCATGTTGTTTTATATGTATAATACTAATACTAATAACAATTTTAAAATTTCTGATTTCGTCAAAAGTTGCCACTTTTGCTTACCAAGTACCTAATAAAGAGGGGTTTATCCTATCCGTTTGGTATATGGTTATATGTTATGGTATATGTTAAAATGGTTCACTTTCCTCATCAACACTAGGCTTTGACCGCCGAGTCGTTTCGAAAAGAACTTGTAGTGCTTTTTAAACTTACTAGGTCTTGAACGAGGAAAATAGCAATAATTAACAAACCCTAAAATACTTCTTAAATATATAAGGTCCAGTAATACACTAATGGGGAAGAACAAAGTTTGTGATAATTATGTCAATTTAGATCGTATTTGATATGGAACACACATATGTTCAGTGTTTGAAGAATGGAGTTGTATAGTATTGCTAGAAGAGAAAGAAAATTATATACTACTGGTGCTATAATAAAACATACTACTTCTGATTATTTCTATATTTGTAATTTAAGAGCGTTCAACGAAAATAAATTCTACCCCATTCTTTTAAGCGTCCCTTGTTACAACGGTGGAAAAAATTAGACAAAAATTTTGCTGCATTGCTATCAAAAGCGGTTTTTGATAAAACTATTTTTCTAAAATTTACATTAATTTCAAGCACAAACTACGCAAAAACTTATAAAAAAATCAAGCAAACAGTACCGGTTTATTATGAAAAATGAACATGACCTTCTTTAAAGATCTTATTTTGTAGAACACGTTTCAAGACAATATTTACGGTATCTTTAAATATGTAATTATGCAAAGTTAATTCTTTGCTATTAAAATAGTTCGTCGGAAGTGGGACTAGCTCCAATTCTTAACGTTTTTTGATACACACGAGAAGAAATTTTTAAGAAACATTTAGAGCTGTTTTTTTAAAATAATTGTTTAAACATCTCCTAAATATCACGAAAATCTACGAAAAAAACTACTCTACTACTCATATTTTTGAAGACTTGTGCCTGACATTATTTCAATAAGATTTCAACAAAAATTTGGCCTGGCAATTCTTGTGTTCTTCATGCAAACTCAGAGCAAAGTTAAATAACAAAATTTGGAGTCAGTACTGAGAAAAGTTTGAAAATGTCGTGGAGTATTCATGTAAAGTATCATCAAAATATCCATTTCAAACTCGGAGGACATTGAGTTCCTTCACAATATCAATTGTGGAGAAAATCGTCTGAATGGTTTTGACGCCGATGAGCGCCGATGATGAACCGACGGACGGACATTTTGCCGTCAACCGGTTTTAGTGTATGAAGGACTCGGTAAGCGTGAATTCTGGCTACACGCTGGCTGGCACGCATTCTGACACGAAATAGCTATTTTCCGGCGCATTGTTTCAATAATACAATACCCAATACTACCGAAGAAATGCGAGAAAGTAAAAATATTCATAATATTTTTGATATGAGCAGCAAGGACCTTCAAAATCAGGCGAATTCGTATATATATTTTGTCTCATTACATTATATCATATACATATGATGTAATGAGTAGACATTCAAAGCATTTTATTTCTATTTAATAACTTCTACAAAACCACTACAACAATTTCAGGAATGTTTTCCACCACTCATTCTGTATAAACAAACACTTTCGGATTCAGTCACTGTCTAGATGAGAGTTCTAGCGGTCGGCTGCGCTAGATAGCTTTCCGAGGTTTCTCCGATCAACACCAGGCGAATGCCAGAACAGTACCTTAACAAACAGACCACGGATCGCGCGCAATATTTCCTTCCTCTCCATTGCCCTATCCTATTGAGCTT